CGTTTTCAGTCCGCCCGGGAGCAGAGCACAGCACTGTTAAAAAGAAAGAATTGTCCGGAGCAAATCCCGATACAAGTTTACGATGCTGTAACTTTGGAAGTTATAGGAATTTTGACCTCAAATTTTATTTGGGACATCTACACCCTATTTTAGTAGGGCCATTTTAATTTCATTGAAATCGAAGCAAATTTTTCTGCTAACTCGTAAACGGCTTGAGCTAGGTCAAAACAGACAGCGGATTTGGCTTCGCCTCGTTTTTAACACTCTATGACCACTGTTCGGTTTACCCTGACCTGATATTTTAAATTATTTAGCGATAATACACATTAAACTTTGCACTTTTCCCAATCAATTTTGGCACGGTAGTGGTCAGTTGTGCTTCAGGTAGTCCGCTTTCAGTCTGCTCTACGTGCGGACCAGTCCGCGATCAGTCTGGTGAGGCGGGGATGCGCACCAAAAGCGGACTAGTTCCAGCCGGACTAGTCCGGCAAATAGGTCGGTTTTTGGTCGATCTGGCTTTTTTCGCGGACTAGTCCGCTCGCTTTTGCGGACTGATGCCGGACTGTCTAGCCGGACTCTTTGCGGACCGAAAACGGACTGATGACGGACTAAACTTTTTCGTACGGGAGAAACTCCCTCTAGCGCCCAAACGGTAAAAGATAGAGCAAAACGGACGAAATTTTCGCCTGGGGAGCTCTAATTTGTCAAATTACCCCGTAGGAGACCATTCAATATTTGCCGAAATTAATAAATTTATTTGTGGGCCACTTTTGGGAGAGAAACTCCCTCTAGCGCCCAAACGGTAAAAGATAGAGCAAAACGGACGAAATTTTCGCCCAAAGGGCTCTACTTTTGCAGGTTACCCCTTAGGAGACCATCTAATATTTTCTAAAATTAATATGTTTGTTTTTGGGCCACTGTCGTGATAGAAACTCCCTCTAGCGCCTAAACGGTGAGAGATAGAGCAAAACGGACGAAATTTTCGTCTAAAGGGCGCTTCTATGACGAGTTACCCCTTAGGGGCTCATAAACAAATATATTTTTTTTTCTGACATTTTGACCTACCCCCTTTTCTTTGATACCCCCTTTCAGCCCATTAGGGTTGGTTGCCAGGATTTGCCGTAGGCGTTTCGTTTTCTAGGAGTGAACCTTAAGATACCCTGAAAATTTCAAGACCCTAGCACATCTCCTTCTAGTGGAACAGACAGACAGACAGACACACAGACACACACACAGACACGAGGTCGTTTGCATAAGCCCGCTGGATAGCTTTTTCAAAGCAGAAGGGCGGGCTAAAAATAAACTAGGTAGATGTACGCCAGACCACGTCTCGCGTAACAAGCTTCGCGATATCTCACGAAACACTGTTGCGCTGCGAGGCGCCTGGCATACATCTACCTAGGCCTGCGGCGCTGACACCCGAATCGGGTATCGCAAATATGAACACAAAGATACGGGCCTCCCGTCAACTTCCCGTCACTTCGACTATACATGCAGGGTTGTACATTTTTTCGCTTATTTTCGTCAAAAACTCCATGTGGCGCCTAAACGGTTAATGATAGAGCCAAACGGACGAAATT